ATTAAACCCAGGATGAAGAATCCTTCGGCGACTCTCACGTCCTTCCTGGCAAAGAGCACATTGATGGCAGAAGACATGGGTTGCTAAGTCACAAAGTGATTCACAATGTTCACGCTGCACCTCATCTTCCAAGCAGCTCCCACAGCAGCCACACGACCTACTAAGTGCCTCACAGCTGCCCTGTTTGTCAAAAGTATCGTCAACATAAATAAGCCTTGAAAAGATGTTTGGCAACTGAAGTGCTTATCTCAATTCATGGAATATTAAAGTTTAAAAGCAGAGGGAAGGATTTGAGAATCACTTACCTCCAGGTTAAACTTCCGCCGCAGGGCAGAACGATTAGGAAATGAAAAGCATGGTGCGAGGCAGAGGCAAGAGAGTATGCATGGATAGAGACGCAGGAAGAAATACGTATTACCAATCAGGAAGAAACACGTATTACCAATCAGGCACAGACCACAATATAACCAGCAGTGATTTCGAAAGGTCTGAGGACCAGATATAAGTCCTTCAGCATTGCTTCCATACAGCACACATGGGGCCCTGCTTCCAAGGAAACCTAGCCAGATGCCGTAAACAAAAAATATAAAGCGAAAAAGATAAACATGAAAATGCAGTAAGAAACCCATTCAACCAGGAGAAGTCAAGAACTAGAAGCCCAACTGAACAATGACAACCTTCCCCCTCAAAAAGACATAGGGAAGAGAAAGGAAAAAGTCCATGACTTCGAAGATGATTCTTGGACCAACATTAACATTCATCCATGACCCATGAGGAATCAGACAACAACAACCTAATGCCCATAAGCATATAAACTAAATTTGATAAAATAAATTTCAAGATATTTAACCCCCAAAATCACAAACACTTAAACCTTTAATCCATTTCAATGTAATAAACTTCAAAGCTAATCCATTTCCCTAAGGATTTCAGAAGAGATCCCATATTTCACTTTTGAAGCCATCACCACAGACTAGATGATGTTACTGTGATCTTTTAGGCCGATCAAATATCATGCATTGCCCTCTTAATCAGCATCTTATAAGGGAATACATATAGAAATTAACAAATTTTAACAAAATTGAGCATTTTTTACGAAATCAGACTCACAAATTTCTGAATCGCTGCCGCAAAACTCGTAAAGACAACCGAAGAGGCTGGAGTCCCACTGTTCCCGAGTCCTCGGCTCGCTCACCATGTGTTGGAAATTAGATCCTATTATTTAGCCATTATCTCTATATTTTAGGAAGTTTAAGTTATTTATTTGTTTTAGGTTGTTATCATTTAAATTAGATTAGATAAGATTGATTTGTTATCTTTTTAGATAATATTATTTTGTAAAGCCTATTTAAAGACTGGATTATTTTCAGTTAATGAGAGATTCAGTTTTTCATTCCATCTTCTTCTTTTCGGAAGCCTTGATTTTTTAACATTTGGTATCAGAGCCTATTCCCGAAAAATTCGATGGCTTCCGAAAATTATGTCCAGCCCTCAATCCCTCGTTTTGATGGTCATCACTACGACCATTGAAGTATGTTGATGGAGAATTTTCTCCGGTCCAAAGAGTATTGGACCATTGTTGAAGCTGGAGTTCCAGAACAAGCGGCAGGTGCAAATGATGCACAGAGGGCAGAAATTGAGAAGGAAAAGTTGAAGGATCTCAAGGCTAAGAACTATTTGTTCCAAGCCATAGATCAGGTTATCTTGGAAACAATTCTTAACAAGTCTACTTCCAAGAATATTTGGGATTCCATGAAGAAGAAGTACTAGGGGAATGAAAGAGCAGGGCGGCAATAGCGCCAAGCTTTGCGTGCAGAATTCGAAGTTCTACAGATGCACATTGGTGAATCTGTAGATGATTATTTTGCAAGGACAATGGCTATTGCAAACAAGATGAGGAACCATGGTGAAAATCTAGAGGATGTTGCCATAGTTGAGAAAATCCTTCGGTCTATGACAACAAAATTCAATTATGTTGTTTGTTCAATTGAAAAGTCAAATAATATTGAGGCTCTATCCCTTGATGAGTTGCAGAATTCATTGTTAATTCATGAGCGGAAGATAAATCGCCAAGACAAGCAAGAGCAAAAAGTGCAGATTTCGCAGACACAAGCCTTGCAGACCACAATTAATTCAAGGGCTGTAGGTCGAGGAAAAGAAATCTAGAAAGGCAGACCAAGATCTGGCAAACCGAAATCTGACAGATTGGAGGAAAGTTCAGCCACTGGAATTCAGAAGAGGTGGCAGAACAAAAATTATCAAGCTGCAGATAATAGATCCAAATCTGTAGGAAAGGCAAATATTGAATGCTTCAGATGTCATAAGTATGGCCATTATCGTTCTGAGTGCCATACTAATCTGAATAGAGGAGAAAGTTCCAATTTTGTAGAACACAATGAGAAGAATGATGATTCCTCTCTATTCATGGTCTATCATCCTAAAGAAGTCAGCAAGAAGAATGTGTGGTATCTGGATACTGGTTGCAGCAATCACATGTGTGGAGACAAATCTGCGTTTTCATATTTGGATGAGTCTTGTCAAGACAAGATGAAATTTGGTGATAATTCCACTATTGCAGTCAAGGGAAGGGGAAAAGGTAACCATTCGTGCCAAAGACAATTCAATTCAGACTATTTCTAATGTTCTATATGTACCAAATTTGAAGTTGAATCTGCTTAGTTTGGGACAGCTTCAGGAAAAAGGATATGAAATCCTTATTAAAGATGGAGTTTGCCAAATTCGTGATTCAAAGCTTGGCCTGATTGCAAAGGTCAAGATGACGGGAAATAGGTTGTTTCCATTATACTTGCAGACCACAAATCTGTCATGTTTATCTGCCAGATTAAAGGACACAGCTTGGTTATGGCATTGCCGATTTGGACATCTTTATTTTGGTGGGTTGAAAGCTTTGTAGCAGAAGAAGATGGTAAATGGTCTTCCTCATTTTGATTCTCCATCAGAAATTTGTGAAATCTGCGTGGTCAGTAAGCAACACAGTGACAGCTTTCCTAAAGACAGATCTTGAAGAGCAAAGCAGGTGCTAGATCTGGTTCATTCTGATCTGTGTGGACCCATAAATCCAACATCCAATGGAGGTAAACAATACTTTATTACCTTTGTTGATGATTACAGTCGCAAGACATGGGTGTATGTTTTGCAGACCAAGTCAGAAGCCTTAGCTGCCTTTAAAAATTTCAAAGTCTTGGCTGAGAATGAGGTTGGCAGATCTGTAAAGGTTTTGCGGACAGATCGTGGTGGTGAGTTTAATTCAAAGGAATTTGCAGATTTTTGTGAGTCCAATGGCATTAAAAGACAACTCACAGCAGCCTACACACCTCAGCAGAATGGTGTATGTGAGAGGAGGAATCGCACAATCATGAATATGGTGCGAAGTCTGATGTCAAAGAGCGGCTTACCTAAGGAGTTTTGGCCAGAAGATGTTAATTGGAGTGTTCATATCTTGAACAGAAGTCCCACATCTCCACTTCCAGATTTGACGCTAGAAGAGGCTTGGAGTGGACGTAGACCTGCTGTTGATTACTTCAGAATTTTTGGGTGCATAGCATATGCACATGTGCCAGATCAGAAAAGGAGTAAGCTTGATGACAAAGGGGAAAAGTGTATTTTCCTTGGTGTTAGTGATCAATCCAAAGCTTACAGATTATACAATCCTTTAACCAAGAAGGTCATCATTAGTCGTGATGTAGTGTTGGATGAAGCAAGCACTTGGTCTTGGACAGAAAAATCTGGGCAACAGATTCTTGCGGATTTCGAAAATGGAGAAGATCTAACTGTACAGAACTCAGAAGGTCAAACTTCAGCAGATCTCGAGGTTTCAAGACAGACAGCTGAAGAAATTCAACCTACAGAAGTAGAGTTCAGTATTGGAGGAAGTCTGCCAATAACACTAGAACTGGAATCTGGAACTAGTTCCAGACCTCAACGCAAAAAGAGAATACCAGCATGGTTGGAAGATTATGAGGTAACAGATCTACCTCAAGATGATGTTCCAGTTAATCATTTTGCTTTATTTGTAGATTGTGATCCCTTAACATATGAAGAAGCTGTTAAAGAAGAAAAGTGGCAAAAGGC